ACTTATGTACAATCTGTGGACATGAACTAACGGGGGGGAATGTGGGTGGGAGGCAGGGGTGCAGGGTGGAGGGGAGTGAGGGGGGAAATGGGACAACTGTAATAGCATAATCAATTTTTTTAAAAGAAATCCTTCTTTATACAAATGAGACGAAAGAAAAGGGTAAATCTCCATGGAATCCCACGGATTTTTCCAGTATTTTAAAAAAGATGTCATTTATTTATTTTTAGAGAGAAGGAAAGGGTGGAAGAAAAGGAGGAGGAGAAACATCAGTCGCATGTGCCCTGACGAGGGTTCGAACAGGTGACCTTTTGCTTTGCTGGGCGACCTTCAACCGACTGAGCCGTAACGGTCAGGGCACGTTTTCCAGCATTATGAGACGCACATGGCCTGAGTTAAAGCGGATGACTCGGGATACCAGTTCCAGATGTCACGTAACCAGCCCAAATCGTCCTACTGTCACGTTTCCTACGTGGTCAGTTGGGGGCGCTCCACGCCTGCTCCTGGGATTGCAGAGCTCCCGGGACTCCTCCCTGCCCCGCCCCTCGTACCCTCGCTGGGGCCCGGGCCCCGCCCGCGCGCGCCGCTGCGGAGGGGTCGGCGAGTGCCCCCCAGGACCGAACGGCCAGGGCCTGCAGGTAGGTCCCGTGGTCAGATGTTGCGCTAGGGGGTGCGCACCCCGCAGGGCTGCAACGCGCACTCCTTTCCAGGCCTCTGGGGTCCAGTGGCTCCCGCCATCCGCGAACCACCCCTCCCGGGACGGCAAAGCGCGACCTCCCACACTAAAGCCAACGGTTCAGCGAAGGCCACGGGGTGGCGCGCTGGGCTGACCGCCCTCGACCACGCGCACCTCCCGGCAGCTACTCTCCGCCCAGCGACCTCAAGCCTCCAGGCTGGGCGGGGATTCCCGGCGTTCTTCTTAGATTCGGCCGCACCGGGTTAACTCCCCGCCCGGTGGCTAGTTCACGTGTGCCCGAGTCACCTGGGCAGCCGCTTCAAACACCGAGGCTCGCGCCCACCCCGACCGCGCGTGGAACCCGACCGCGCTGAGACCTGGCTGCAAACGCGGTTTTAGAGCTTCCTCGGGGGCTTTTCCGGACAAGTAGCGGGTCTGAGCACGCCCCCCCCCCCCGCCCCGCCTCCGGAAAGCGTTGCGCTCCAGGCTCAGCTGGAAGGTGTAAAGTTCATTCCAAGATGCAAGTTCCGTATTGGAATTATACGCAAAGAATGGCATTCTACTCTCTCACGTGTCTGCGTGCATTTTAATAGAAAAGCAATGGCTACAAGCTACCTTTTGGGAAAAGATAAATGCATAACAAGCACGAGGTTAAGACGTTCTGTTCATGCGAGGGCCAGCAGCTGCTGCGAGCGGGTCGCAGCAGAGGTCAGCATCGCGCATTCAGAGGGAAGGAATTTCAAACGGGGGCAAGACGGGCTTTTCCACGGGGGGCGGGGGCGAAGTCCACGGGAGCTCTGCGGGACAAAAATACTAAATACCAGTCAAGCATCAGACATAACACGGAACTGACTACCCCCCACAAACACACATGGAAGTCACTACTAAGGAAGAAGGGAAGCTCTTGGGACGTAGGGGGTCTGGTGCACACACCCGAATTCAAGTCGCGCACTGAATGACGGGGGGGGGCGGTTTCTTTGGCAGCCTTCATTTCTAAACTCGACCGCGGTGCATAATGGGGTTCTAGGAGTCCCCCTCCCTGCTCCGCAGTGCAGGTGCACAGAGCCACTCCCCTGGGATCGGCTTCTTTGATACGGGAAAGGCCCTTTGAGTGGGCTCCTTTGGTTATGTAAATGTGGCCGCGAGGGCACCCGTTGCCCTGCGGCGGAACAGAGGCTTTTGTGGCCCGACAAAGCCACCGCTTCTCCAGGCCCCTTGGAATGCAGCGCCGGCCACGAGGGAGGCGGGGAGGTGTTTCTGGATCCGAAGCCCGGGGCCTTGGGAGAGGAAAGACCTTGAGACCCGTCTCCCCACATTCAGGTTCGCGATTGACTGAAATTGACTGTGAGGAAAGGCCTGGAAAGTTACTACACAGGGACCGCCCGCGTGAGTTGGCAGGGCTCTCCTGGGACTGGGAGCCTCCTGACCGGAGCACCCCCCTCTTGCTGCTGCCCTCGGGGGAAGGACGGCTGAGCCGGCGAGGGTGATGAAGAGGAGGGCCACTTTCTGTCTGAAGCACGTGTTCCTGCGGACTGGGCCGCAGGTGCACCTGAAAATCTGCAGGGCTGTGCGGGCTCCACAGCGCCACCGTGTGGGGCGAGAGGGTCCCTGAAGAGTCCCGTTCAGACGCTCCGAACTCGCGCTGTGTGGGTTTAGGGGAGGCCTGGAGATTGCAGACAATTTGGGAGTGAGAGGGCTCCAAGAAGGAGAGGTAGGGTTTTGTAAGGAGGAAAATAATTTTATTTCTACCCTTCTGGGTTCTTTACTGAGACCGCCCGCCCCCCAAATAAAGGAGTGACAAGAAAAAAACCCATAAATTTAATGACGTGTACACCTCCTGCATACATGGGAGGTGCCCAGGAAAACCGAGAAACTCCCCGAAATGACCCAGGCCACCACTTTCAGTATCAGTTGAAAACAAAATAAAGATGCTGGGGGGTGGGGAGCAAGGGAGGTTTCCAGGAAAAGCCCAGTAAAAGGGTATAAGATGGTAGAGTCACAGATTCAAGTCGCTGCCTGCCTCCTTGATCAGTTTCTGGCGATTAAGAGCCATCCTCTTCCTGGCGAAACGGAGACTTCCTTTTTAAATGTGAATATCCCTTACAAAAGAGTAACTTGTACTTAGTTTTCAGAGCTTCTCCTGTGTTGGCTGTTTTTTTTTTTTTCCAAAATAAATAAATAAATAAATAACCAGCTCAAGATAAGCCTTCTGCCAAAGAGGCAAATTTTGGGGTGTCATATTCTACTCCCCGTCGTTTTCTGCCAACACGGGTACACGAGGGATTAAAATGCAGTCCGTCAGACTTACTCCCTGAGTTGCGGTTATTTTGATTGTACGCGTGAAGGGCTTATCGTAGAGCCAGGTGTGTTGAATGTGCTCCACAAAATGGCAGTAATTATCGTTATTACTGGCGATCAAGACTGTAAATACTGAAAATCCTGGAAACTTCCAGAATGGCCTCTGTATCTGTTTCCCCATACGATTGCCGATTAACCTCGGAAAGGCCAGTGCTGTCTGTGGAGGCAGCGGGGCTGCACGCCCAGGTGGCCGGCCGGAGGAAACCGGGGTCAGCTGGTGGTGGTGGAGAGGCCCAGAGCCAGGCCAGGGGTGGGCTGCAGGCTGCAGTCAGCTGGGCAGTCTGGACAGGCTGGCTGAGGGTCAGGGCCAGGGTGGGCAGTGACCCGCGGTTCTCTGCCATTAGCTTTTTCTTTCGTGGAGCCCCCTTCCTGTTGAGGGGACAGAGGAGCTGGGGGCTGGCGAAGGGGCTGGCCTTGGGCACGGCTGCCTCCTCATGGGCCCCAATGGGGGATTGCGGGTGTGGACAGGTTTCTAGGGTCTCCATCTGAACCTGTTTCTTCCCTGCTCGGGAAGCTGCAGTGGCTCCTCTACGCCTGCAGAGGGCACCCTAACTCCTAGGCCTGGCCCGTCCCTCCAGCCTCCTCCATCACAAGGCTAGCGCCCGCTCTTCCTCTGGGAGGCCAGGTAAGCTGCTAGGTGGGGAGGGGCTCCGTGAGCCTGCTGCCCACCCTGTGCAGGATGTCCTGTTACGTGGGCCCCCTGCCTTTGTTTTTTCCTTCCTTTTGTGGTGCTGCGCTGGCTCCCCAGCTTAGGTACAGGCCCCCGAGGTCTGAAATGGGGTCAAGAGCAAGGACCCCCAAAGGGCAGAGGCTGAGGAAGTCCCCATCCGTGGGACCAGCCGGATCGGCCCAGAGGAGAGGGTGCACAGGTGAGGTCTCTACCGCTTGCCCCGGCGGGGCTCTCAGGCTCCAGCCTGAACACCCTCCTGCAACTCAGCCCGGGACGGGCCCTGCCTCCCTCCCAGCTGCTTCCCCTTTCCACGCCCCAGCCCCGGCCTCTGAGGAGCACCTTTCCGCCTTCAGAGGCGCGGCCAGCCCCCTCCCCTGTGCCAGCCCGGGCCCGGCCCGGGCTCGGAGTGTGAGTGATGGACCAACCGGGCCTGTGCAGTCACAGGCCCCGCCTCGGGAGGCCCTGTTTGGCCTCACTCTCTGCTGGGGCGATCTTGAAAACCTTAACTTTTTAAAACCAGGGGCCCACAGACTTTGCGGCCAGCCAGCCTAGAGGGGAGGTGTGGGGGTCTGTGCTGAGGAGGAAATAGCCGGGGCGTCGTCCCTCTTCTTCCCCGAGGGCAGCGGGGGCCACGGGGGGGCGTCTGTGTAGTCTCGCACCCCGTCGGTGCTCCAGGGTGCTGTGTCAGACTAGGAAGCAGCCATTCCCACCGCCCACCCAGAGGAGGGCCCTGGGTGTCTGTCTCGGGCACCCAGCCCACTCGGATGCCTGAGCTGCCCACTGGTGGGGAGATGCTCGTTTGCTGCCTACAGACCCAGGGCCCTTCTCCTGGGGTGGCCGCCCTCCCCACCCTGGATGCTGAGGTGCCCTGCACCATGGTGGTCCCCCAGGACCAACTCCCCACCCCCTGCCACCGTTTCAGTGTTTTTTTGTCAACCTCATCAGTGCGTCCAGGTTGCCTGAAAGGCCATGGGAAGGGGAAGCCCACCGGCACCTGCCTGCCCCACTGCACCCACTCCCTGCAGCAGCAGCAGCAGCCTCAGGGTCGGCTCTGGCCTTGGCCTTGCCCTCCGTGGGAATGCACAGTTAGCTGGGAGCTCCCCCACGGCCCCGCCCCCAGTCCAGGGCCACCTCTCTCGGCCCCTCTGCTTTAGTCCTGGCACTCACCCCCCCTCTAAGGCCCTTCAAGGGGTCCCTTGTGCCCACCAGCTGAGAACAAGGACCAAGCTGTGTTTCCTGAAATCTCCAGCAAACGTGGCCCCAGACAAGCCCTCCGATGGAAATGGGAACAGGAAGTTTCACACCACAAAAAAACCAGTCCCCTTTTATTGAGAAAATAGTCAGTTCCTCCGTGTTTTCCCAGGTGACTTTGCCCAGAGGTACGAGGCGGCGTCCTTCTGCAGCCACCCCTAAGGACCCCCGAGCCTGGGAGGGGCGGCCCACACCGGACACACCCTGCCTCTGCAGGGGCAGATGCTGGTCTGCTTGGCCCTGGGGTGGCCGGCTCTGGAGGGGCTGTGCGGGGTGCGGGGCCCGAGGGAGGAGCTGTTTCACTGGGATGAGTGAAGGGAAGAGCACCGCCGTCTCCCGGGGCCTGGCGCCGTCTCCCTCCAAACCCTTCATAAATAAAACTTCATAGTATTAGAGGTATGTTCACGTCCAGGGCCAAACCAGCTGGTTTCCGGGCCAGGGAGCCGGGCCTCTGTGAGGCCGCCCCAGGGCCCTCGCCTGGGGCTGGTCGGGCAGCACCGTGGCTTCGGCGTAGACCGCTGCCCTCTGGCCCTGCGTCGGGCGGGGGAGGGGGGCGGGGGGCTGCTACCCATCCAGAGGTTCTGAGGATCGCTGAGGTAGTAAGAGCAGCAGGTTGCGCTTCCAGACGGGGGCGGGATGGAACAGCCAGGGATGCAGCCAGGCCTGGAGCCACCTGGGAGCTGAGGAGGCTGAGCAGCCAACTCCAGGCAGGCCCGGGGGGAGGGGGCGGTGCAGGAGGGTGTCCTGGAGCGCCCTGTCTCCAGGAGACCCAGGGGCGCAGACTGGGGGGCCTGTGAGCCTGCACAGGGTTGAGCTTCTCCTGTAAGGGCCGAGGGGGCCTGTGGGGAGACTGAGGCATTTCACGGGAGGAGGAGATTCTGTGAGGATGACAGAGGGCAGCCACGGAGCCACCCAGGGCCTGGCCTGGCCCAGGTACCTGAGCACGGGATTCCTTCAGAGGCCACCAGGGCCTCCCACCAGGTCAGAGAGGGCGAGGCCACGAACCCAGGTTAGGAGGGCTGCCAGCAGCTTCGTGCCCCGCACGACCTTCTCCAGTGTGGGCACTTCGGAGCGCTCCTGGGCCGCAGCTCCACTCTCTGGGGCACCCCCACAGGGAGGCCCCTCCGGCTACCTGTGCCGGCCACCCCCAGGGGCACCCGAGGCCCAGCTCCTCCGCCGCCCTGCAGGGCACCGCAGGCCCCGCCTGCCCCGGGAGCCCGGCCGGTCAGAGCACCTGGAGCTTGCGGGAGCAGGTGAGGTTGCCGTGCACCAGCCCCCACATGGCCAGCAGCTCGGCGGGCAGCAGCTTGTGCACGACCAGCATGGAGCGGAAGAAGCACGGCTCCTTGTTCATGCGGCTGTTGCGGTTCCGGGAGATGCCGAACGTCTTGAAGCCCTCGTGGGCCATGGGGTGCACGCCCAGCACCTCCAGGCACATGCCCAGGAAGACGTCGTCGATGGGGTAGAGCTCCACGGTGTCGCAGGCGCGGTGCAGGCGCCGGGCCAGGCCGCCGGCCATCAGGAAGCCGCCCCCGCCGGCGTAGGGCGGGTAGCTGGCCTTGCTGTACAGGGCCCCGGGGATGTAGTACTTGTTGTCCTTCTTGCGGATGGGCCGGGCGTGCTGGAGCACGTCGCCCACGAACAGGTCTTCCTGAGGCCGCCGGTCGGCCAGGAACTCCAGCAGGTTGGTGGGGTTGACGAAGACGTCGTCGTCACCCTTGAAGACGAAGCGGACATGGGGGCAGTAGATGTCCAGCCACTTGAGGAAGTGGATCTCCTTGAGGGTCAGGTTGAAGAAGCTGTCCAGAAAGTCCCACTGCAGGATGTCGCCGTAGAGACGGTCCTCGTAGGCCAGCAGCTGCTGGTAGTGGGCGCGCTCCTCCTGCTTGGAGGCCGTGCCCAGCAGGAAGAGGGTGCGCCTGGCGCCGCGGCTGCCGCCCACAGACTGCTGCTCCAGGCCCCAGGTCTGGCGGATGGCCTCCCGGCGGTCGTGCTGCGTGATGACCGACTTGATGACCACCAGCAGGTAGACGTCGCCGTGGCACTTCTCCGGGTGGTTCAGCAGCATGGGGAAGTAGCGGCAATGGCGGTAGAGCAGGAACTGCTGGAAGTGAGGCTCCAGGCCCTGGAACCAGGGCTGGTGGGTCAGGTTGACGTTGGCCGAGCAGTTCGCCGTGGTCACGTCCCAGGCCTGCGGCGCCCCTGAGGCCATGGGCACGGGGGTGACCGAATCCTTTGATCTCTTCCAGAAGTCATTGGGGTTCGCCAGGTGTGCGTTTGGCTTCCGGGCCTCTGGCGGCCCTAAGGTGGGTGGCGGGGGCTCCTGCAGAAACTGGCCGGGGGTCAGACCACGCTGGAACACGGCCACGGCCACGAGCAAGGCCAGGGACAGGCACACACTCTTGTAGATGACTCTCTTCCTGGGGGTGGGGGCGGGACACACAGAGGACACACAGGTGAGTCCCTGCGACCCTCCCAGCATCTCTAGGTGGCCAAGTCTAGTCCCAGGGCCCCAGGCAGTCAGAACAGGGTTCTGCTTCCCCTCCCCGCTCCTCCCTACCCAGTGGGGCTCCCGACCAGCACTAGGGAGGCGGGCTGGCCTGCCACCTACAAGCCAAGTGACTTCCAAGGGGTTCCCTTAACCTCTCCAAACCATGATTTCTTCTTCCACGACATGAAGCCAGCCCTCTGCCCTGTTCTCCGCCCCCCAGCAAGGCACCCCTTTTGCTTTCATTTCCTGCGCGGACCCCGTGAGGCGCTGGGGTGAACAGTTCAGGTGAATCACTGGGAGAGGCAGAGACAGGACCTGCTCTGCTGCCGGAAAGCGCACTCCAACATGGGGACTTGGGGAGCAGGCTCTGACGTGGGACCTGAAGAAATCTGTCCCTCTTCCCTCCACCCCATCCATCAGACTATAAAAAAATAAAGCAGCCCAGGGCATCTTGTAGCATGACCACTGTCCCCTGAGCCCCCCATCTGCCCCCTGCCCGAACATGGCACTGGGCGAGATGCTCTCCTGCCCCAGGAGGGGAACGGATTCGGACCCTACCTCCCAGGGACGCTGCTGGCCCAGGGAACCCTATCACACCCACTTCGGAAGCAGACATTAGAGCTTTTTGCCAGGAGGGCGGGCAGGCCCTGGGCCTTGGGACCCTTTTTCTTCAAGCTCACGTTCTGGGGGTGGCCAGGCCAGTGGGATGATGTCCCCCAACTCCAAGTGGGGAGGTGGGTGCCAGGCTCTGGGAGGAGGCAGACTGCAGTGTGGCCAGTGGCCAGTCGGGAGCCCTGCTGAGAAGCCGGGGCCCCCAGGAGTGGCTAGCTGGAGGAGCAGACAGCCAGGGAAGGGGAAGGTGGAGGCCATTGGGGCCAGCCTTTCCCACGGGGTCCCAAGGTTTCCTGCGCATGGAGTTGCGGGAAGGCCGGGTCATCTCAGGTACTGCCGTGGGGAGGGGCTGCGTGTGACCCAAGACCCACACTCGGAGCGTTGGGGAGCAGAGCGCTCGGTTCTCCCGCCAAGGGGGTTTCAGGGAAGCCCCCACACCGCAGTAGGGGAGGCCGAAGTCCAGCGGCGTCACCACAGGGAGGGGGAGGCAGCGAGGCCCCTCGACCCCGGGGAGGAAGGAGAGGAGAGGAGAGCCACTGGGGGCGGAGGACGGGATCGCCCAGGACGCAGGAGGCCCTCGGAATGGAAGGCAGGAGCCCAGCTGCCGGCGAGACCTTGAGTGCCCAGCTCACGTTGTGGGATCTGGGGGATCTGGGACCGCGGGGAGGGCTGGGCGCACGGGCTCCACGGTCTGCCGCCGCCGCCGCTGCTGCCGACCAGCCGGTCGGGGCGCCGAGCACTGCCGCGTATCTCCATCAGCCAGCGCCGCGCCAGCCCATCTGTCCCGGGGAAACTGCGGCCAGCCCCGGACACCCAGCGCGGCATCTCCCGTGCCCGGAGACGCCCCGCGAGCTGTGCCGCACCCCCAGCCTCCGGGGGAGGTGAAGCCCGGGGTTTCCGGGCCCCATCCCAGGCCCCCCAGCCCGACGGCCCGCGAGCCCCCACTCACCCTAAAGACATGGCGGCCCTGGCCGGGGCGGCGGAGGAGCGGAGCGCGCGGGTTGCTGCTCTGGGCGCTGCTCTGGGCGCGCGGCTCGGGCAAGGCAGGCGGACCGGGACGGGGCGGGCAGGGGCCGAGGCAGGGCCGCGCCCCCGCCGTGACTTTCTCTTCCCGGCTGCGGGGGGAGGGGCCGGGAGGGGCGGCGGCGGCCCAGGTGCGTTAACCCCTTCGGCGCCCCCTGCCCGCGGTCACGGCCGTCCGCCGCGCTGCAGCCGGGCGGAAATCGCCCACTTCTCGGAGGCGGAACCCGAGGCTCCGGAGCCACTCGAGGTCGCCCTGTCTGATCAGGGGTGACCGAGTCCGGACTTTCGCTCGCGGGGGTACGCGGTTTCCCCCCAGAGGAGCTTCCCTGGAGTCGTCAGCCCATGCGGACGCCTAGGGACCCGGACACCATCCACCTCCAACCTTCGGTCGGGTGGGGGCGGGGGCGGGGAGGGGGGGGGTGCAATTCTCTGTGTTCCCACTTGGACTTTTTCTTGGTGGGGGAGGCAGAGGCAGACTGTTGGGGTTCAGGACCCTCCTCTGCACCCCCAAGCAGCGGCCCTCTCCACGCCTGGGGTTCCTCCCTGCTGGGAAGCTCCCCCTCACTATCAAGGGAAGACCTATCTGCCTGGCCCAGCCGCCTTTCTTCTCACCCACCAACAACTATGTCACTCAAAACCGTTTTCGTCCCCAAGCCTTTATTAATCTATGTGCGCCAGACCCAGCGCCTAGTGGGCGGGCTGCCCTAGACAGACTTGGAGGGGCATCTCGGCCCAGCGGGGGTCTGAAGGGTGTTCCCGTCCAGGTGACTTCCAGAATCTTCTACCAAGTACACACTTCGACTGCCCCGCCTTCCCCGGAGATGTCCCTTGTAGCCCTGTTCCGTGGGGAGGCCCCGTCACGGAGCACACACTGGGACCCTAACAAAGCGCATAGAATTGAGAGGAAGCACTTCACAGCCCAGTAAGGAGCCCTAACACTCAGCAAGCATTTTCAATACGCCAATCACAGTTCCGGGCTGCTTCCGGGCCGGCGGACTCGCGCAGTCCTCAAGGCACGTGCTGCCGCTCCAAGTGAGTTCTTCCCACGTGAAGGAGCAAATGCAGGTGCCAGGAGGGGAACGCCCAGCGGGCCGCGTCCAGTGATCAATAAGCAGACCCAGGGAGTTGGACTCACGGAACGTCTCTCAGGGACAGCAGGGACAGGGAGTGGCTTTCAAGCTAGATCCCAGGCCCCTGCAGCCCTGACGCCGGTTCAGCCTTCGCCCTAAGGCTCAAAGGCCCTTTAGAGGGGGTGGAGAACTCCGAGTCGCCCTAAAGCTCAAAGGCCCTTTAGAGGGCGGAGGACTCCGAAATGCCACGCGGAGCTCTCCTGAGTGCTATCAACTCCAATCAAGGCACGTGAAGGGCCTTCCTGGAGGAATCCGGCAAGATAACCCGGGGCCCCGCAGCGTCCCGGGGACCTGCCTGCTGCTGAGGACCAGCACTCAGAGCCCAACTGACCACCCATCCCACGGGGCCCCCGGGAATTCACCCCACCGCCCAGGTTGCTGTGTTCTTCACGTTCACTTGTGAAGCTCCAGGTCAGTGTGACCTTAGGGAGGAGGGCCAGGGGCAGGCCTGGCTGGGGACAGGACCGCCCAGCCTCCGCACTGACCTTTCACCCGGAGGCTATAGGTTGCCTCAGGTGCTGGTGAGGGGCAGACACAGCTGCTCCTGGGGAAGAGGTTTGGAGTCCAGGTTTGAGGACCAGAGGGGAGGGCTTTGTACTTCCTGGCTGTCACTGGGGGCGGGTGGCTTATTCCCTTGAGACTCAGTTTCCTGTGAGCAGTTACACTGGAAGAGATGACGCACGTAAAGCACGCAGATGAGTGTCTCCTACACGGTGGCATCACGACAGGCTAGCTGCTATTAATATTGTTATTGTTACTATTGATAACCCAACCCACCAGGCCCCAGAACCCACCAGGGCTCAAGGAGATCAGGATGAGGGGGGGCACCCGAGGTCAACCGGGTGTTTGCCAGTGGAATCCGGTTCACTGAGAGGAAGTTTGTCATCGTGGGTTCACTTCGTCTGTGTCTAGGTGGGACTCAGAGTGGGCCTGGATGACAATGAGATACTCAGCCCCTGCCTGGGGGATGGGAGGGGGTGTGTGGGAACGGCCAGGCCCTAGTCAACTTTCCCTATCAGTGGACCGGCCCCCCCAGCTAAGCTGTCGGGTCTGTGTCTGTCATTTCAGACGCACTTTGCTGGTCCCGGCCCCTCCCTTGGCCCTTGTCTTTGGGAAGAGCCCTGGGAGATTCCTGCTGTTGTCTCAGGCCACCGCTGGGGGGATGAGCAGGGCCCCTGGGGAGGGGGGTCATTCTGTGGATGGAATCTGCCCTGCCCCACAGTCCTGGCTGAAAGCATGTGGAAGCTGCAGAACCAGGAGATCGGGTGTGGGGGGTGGGGTGGGGTGGGGGTCAGTCTGTCTGTAGCCCTGGGGGGAGGGATGGGAGTTTGCTCTGTCCTTAGCCCTGGGGGGGGTCAGGGATGGGAGGAGCTACTTGGCTGGAGTCCTGAGACCTGAGCAGAGGAGGTGGGGTAGGCGTCCCTGTCACTGGGGCCTCTGCTCCCCTCAGGTTGAGCTCTGCCCTGGAAAAGGGAACTCAGGGAGACCAGCTGCTGGAGAAGCCCAAGAAGCTCCTCCTCCCTCTTCCACTCCTTCCCCCCCTCCCCCACCACCTCCCTGCTTCGTCTCCCTCCCCCCTTTCCCTTTCCCCCTCTCTCTTCCCTCTGTCAGCCTCCGGCCCACCCTCCAGAACCAGTGGGAAGAATCCAGACCATGCTGGTTTGGTGCAGTGACCTTGAGGCCCACCTGGGCCCAGGGACCTGCCTTGCCCTTGGATGTGGGGAGACAGCTGACGGGCCAGAGGTCGCTCTGGGCCCATTCTTTTTTCTCGCTCACTTTTAGTGAGCTGTGCCTGACTGCCAGCACAGAGGAATGACGTGGCTTCTGTGTATTGCGAGTGAGACCATTACCATAGCAAGCTCAGTTATCATCTGGCACCTGTAGACGCAAAAAATGTTTCTCCTTTTCTTGTTTTTATTCTTACTCTATTACAGTGGTCCCAGTTTCCCCCCCTTTGCCCTCCTCCCTGCCCAGCCTACCCCTGAGTCGACTCTTAACTGGGCAGCGTAGGGCTGACTTGGGGAGACCCCGAGAGCTGGACTGCAATCTCACTTCCCTGCACTTGTATTTATTTAAGTAAAAATAAAATTAATTAACTTTAAATAACGATTTTTATTTATTTACTTCTAGAGAGTGAGGAAGGGAGGGAGAAAGAGAGGGAGAGAAACATCAATGAGAGAGAGATACCCGGTTGCCTCTTGCAAGACCCCAGCTGGGGACCTGGCCCTGACTGGGAATCGAACCAGTGACCTTTCGGTTTGCAGGCCGGCACTCAGTCCACTGAGCCACACCAGCCAGGGATCACCTTGGTCTTTAAAGACCCCGAGTCAAGTCTGCACTGCAGGGGCCGCCGCGGCCAGTGCTTCGAGTGCAGTGGGCTACGCGTGCAGCAGAGGGTCTACCGATGAACCCTGGAGCATCGGATGCTGTCTCTCTGTAGTACAAGGCGTGCCCTTGAAGATGTGTGCCCGCCTTGGGCAACCCAGCAGAGCAGCGCCCTGGGTCCAGGACGCTCTCTCCTCATTGGTCCAGCATACCCCATGCAATGATCTGATTGGAGGGCTAGCCAGTCTTCCCACAAAGGACAGAGAGTGGGCCTCCCCGGGGCTCCTGGGCAGTGGCGGTGGGAGGTCAGTTTTGTGCTTCTTGCTAATAGATGCTTTACGTGGGGTAGCATTGATGTCCTCGTAATATACCACGTGAGGAGGACCTCTGGTCCTGGTCCACCCATGTCCGCCGCTGAGAACCTGACCCATTCTGCAGGGTACCCTGGGAGGGGCTGCCCAGGCAGGGTGGGGGCATAACACACAAAGGAGGAAGAGAAAAAGGCCGAGAAGGAGTTAGCAGAGAGGTGGGAGTGGGCAGGGAGGCCAGGGTTTTCCAAGTGTGGCTGGCTATGTTCGGAGTCTGGGAGGTGCCCTCGCCCAAGGGCAGATTGGGTCGAAGAGACGCCCCAACCACAAGGGGTGAGAGGTGCTGGGAGGCAGTTAAATGAGGCCCCTTGCAGGGTCCCCATATGAGCAACACAAGTGACCACAGCCTGTTGCCACGGACCTGAGGTGCCCCGTGTGGCCAAATCCTGACAGAGTCGAGGCTGACCCCACAGCCAAGACGGTGGCATGGTGTTAACCAGTAAGATGAGTCAAAATCAAAATTCCAGAGCCTGCCAGCAGAGAATCTGAGGGGGCCTGGGAGATTGTTTTTCCAGTTTCCCAGATGACCCTGATGGACACGCAGGTTTGGGAGCGACAGGCGCCGAACCCCCAGTTCCAGCTCCCTGGGGCAGCCATGGGCAAGGGCCGGCAGGGGGCACCTCCCCCTGGGAGCTTGGGGAGCAGGACCACAGGACCAGGGGGCAGTTCTGGAGGAACTTGGAGGCGGGGCAGAGGTGAGTGGACTTTCCCAGTGAAGCAAGGGACAGGCAGGGAAGCAGAGGAGGGTTTAGGAGCTTGAAAGGAGCGGGAAAAGGTGGGATCTGAGAACGTCAGAGAAGGGCAGCGAGAAGTGTTAGGGTGGCCCTGTGCCCCCTGGGGACCCAGGCTCCTGGCTGAGGTGGGGATGTCCTGGGCTCCTCTGGATGTGAGTGACGCAGACCCACCTCAACGTGGCTCTAACAAAAGGAACTTATTAACTTGTATGATGGGAAACCCCTGTCCTTTGCTGTCTCCTGGCCTCTCCCCACAACCCACGCCCCTGCACAGTCCGCCTGCCTCTTGGCCCTCTCCTACTACACCCACAGGCCTCTGCTGTGAGGAGGAGGAGAAAGGCAGGCTTGCAGATGGCCTCAGCGGTTCAATACCACCTGGAGGACCCCGGAGGAAAGGGTTCCGCCCCCCGTCCAACCTCCATATGTAAAATTCCAGGGAAGGACTCTCACTGGTCTGGCTTTAGTCATGTGCCCGCTGATCACGTCTAGGGGGACTGGAGTAGTGTGACTGGCCAGG